TCTCCAAATTTAAAATGCTGGAGAGAGAAGCAAGGTCTTCACGCATGTTTCCTAAGAGCTGCTGCTGGAAACAAGAATAGAATAGATCAGGGGGTCTTCAAACCTGACCCTTTTATGACTTGTGGACTTCAACTCCCAGAATTCCTCAGCCAGGCACGCCTGGCTGAGGAATTCTGGGAGTTGGAAGTCCACAAGTCATAAAAGGGCCAAGTTTGAAGACCCCTGGAATAGATGGTCCAGCTTGGGAAAAAAAACCCCACAATTCCCCTCCATCTACTTTTGTCTCCCATAGGATTTTAAAAGAACAGGAAGACAACGTGAAAGAAAAAACTATTCAGCTGCAGCAACAGCCTAAGAAAACAACTTGTTGTTCCAGACAATAAAGCACACGTAGAACTCCCTTTAATAAATAAACACAATCGTTTTCATCTTTTTCTACACTACAGTGTCCTGGGTTACATTGTCAGGCATTGTTTTATGGCTTTTACAGGACCGTAAGTCATTTTCGCCTGCAGTTCAATTGCAATGATTTTTTAGAATAGACCTCAGAGTTGGAAGGGACCTTGGAGGTCTTCTAGTCCAACCCGCAGGAGGCCTTATTCCATTCTGGACAAATGGCTGTTTAATCTCTTCTTGAAAACCTCCAGTGCTGGAATACCCACAGCTTCTGGAGGCAAGCTGTTCCACTGGTTATTTGTTCTCATTCTTGGGAAATTTCTTCTTAGTTCTAGGTTGCTTCTCTCCTTGATGAGTTTCCATCCGTTGCTTCTTGTTCTGCCTTCAGGTGCTTTGGAGAATAGCTTGACTCCCTCTTCTCTGTGACAGCTCCTCAAACATTGGAAGGATGCTATCATGTCTCCCCTCGTCCTTCCTTCTCTTCATTAGACTTGTTGTTAGTTGCGAAGTCGTGTCCGACCCATTGCGACCCCATGGACCACGTTCCTCCAGGCCTTCCTGTCCTCTACTATCTTCTGGAGTCCATTGAAGCTCACGCCTCCTGTTTCAGTGACTCCATCCAGCCACCTCCTTCTCTGTCGTCCCCTTCTTCTCTTGCCCTCCATCTTTCCCAGCATTAGGGTCTTCTCCAGGGAGTCCTTCCTTCTCATTAGGTGGCCAAAGTCCTTGAGTTTCAACTTCAGGATCTGGCCTTCTCAAGAGCAGTCAGGGTTGATCTCCTCCAGGACTGACCGGTTGGATCGCCTTGCAGTCCAGGGGACTCGCAGGAGTCTTCTCCAGCACCAGAGTTCAAAGGCCTCCATTCTTTGGCGCTCGGCCTTTCTTATGGTCCAACTTTCACAGCCATACATTGCAACTGGGAGAACCATGGCCTTGGCTATACTAGACATACCCAATTCCCGCAACCGTTCTTCATATGTTTTAGCCTCCAGTCCCCTGATCATCGTTGTTGCTCTTCTCTGCGTTACGAAACCTTGGATGCAAATAAGGAAGGTGGTTGCTAATCAATTGCACTAACAGCACTGCCTCAAGAGGAGAAGGAATCGGCATTGTGTGGCCGTCACACAAAAAAACTACAGCCTTGCTTCCCTTCCCCTTTCCACTGACCTGAATTCATACATTTGCAATGTAATGTTATGGTAAACTCGCCTGCCATCAAAATGTGTAATTAATTGTGACTTGGGAAGCAGAGCAGCCTGAACCAGAAATATATAATCTGTTTTCCCATCATAAATATGTAGGAAGAAAAGGGAAATATGTGAGGGAATCCAGATTTCACTGGACTTTAACCTGCAGGATTGTAACAGAACAGAATAAGAAAGTGGGAAGGGACCTTGGAGGTCTTCTAGTCCAACCTCTTCAGGGTGACCCGCTCTCTCCTTCAATTGAGGGAGGGGGGGATCCCCTGGAGGGGAGGGCCGAGGACTTTGTGCAATATCTGCATGACAAAGTCGCTCGGATCCGAGAAGGCCTGGACTCTGACTGGGTGGCCCCGGGGGAGGAGACGGGAGCAGGTCTTGAGATGGTTGTATGGGAGGAGTTTGACTCTGTTGCTCCCGAGGACGTGGACAGGATCCTGGGGAGGCTGAATGCAACCACATGTTTACTGGATCCGTGCCCCTCCTGGCTGGTACTGGCGGCTCGGGAGGGTACACGAGCCTGGCTCCAGGGAATTATAAACGCTTCTTTAGGGGAGGGTGCCTTCCCCGCGGCCTTAAAGGAGGCGGTGGTGAGGCCCCTCCTCAAGAAGCCCTCCCTGGACCCAGATGTATTGGCCAACTATCGCCCGGTCTCCAACCTTCGCTTTGTGGCGAAGGTTGTTGAGAGTGTGGTTGCGCAGCAGTTCCCTCGACACCTGGAGGAAACAGTCTATCTGGACCCGCTCCAGTCGGGCTTCAGGCCGGGATA